CACAGCTGAATCTTATGGAGTCATTTTCTCAATTGAGGTTTCTATCTCAGATAACTCGAGTTTGTGTGTCAAGTTGACGTAAGACTAGCGGGACAATAGACCCCCTTATCAGTTTGACAAACACACACATCACTATTAAGCCACAACCTTCCCTTTTTTTTTGTTTTTTGTTTTTTGTAGACAGGATTTCTCTGTGTAGCTTTGCGCCTTTCCTGGAACTTACTCTGTAGCCCAGGCTGGCCTCAAACTCACAGAGATCCGCCTGCCTCTGACTCTGCTTCCTGAGTACGGGGTTTAAAGGCATGTGCCACCATCACCTGGCAACCTTTCCTTTCTTATTCATCCCCAAGATCTCACATTAAAAACATAAATAATTTGAAAAGTCCATAGCCCTTACAAATTCATTCATATTTCAGTCTCTTTAACATACCCAATCTCTTTACAAATCCCAAATCTCTTTTAAAAGTTCAAAGAATTTCGCACTGTGGACTCCTATATAAATAAAAAATAAATTAAATACTTTCTTACTTCAAGAGGGAAGAACCAGGGCACAGTCACAATCAAATCAAAGCAAAACCAAACTCCAAGCATAAAGAACACAATGTCCAATGTCTGGGATCCATTATGATCTTATGGGATCCTCCAAGGGGTTTGGGTCACTTCTTGGTTTTTCAAGACAGGGTTTCTCTGTGTAGCTTTGCGCCTTTCCTGGATCTCACTCTGTAGACCAGGCTGGCCTCGAACTCAGAGATTGGCCTGGTCTGCCTCCCAAGTGCTGGGATTAAAGGCGTGCGCCACCATGGCCCGGCTTAGGTCACTTCTCCAGCTCTGCCCTCTGCAGCACACACAGCTCGTCTTCTGGGCTCTGGCTGGCTCCACTCCACTGCTGCTGCTGTCCTTGGTGGTCTTCCCATGGTAATGGCATCTCCAAAACTCTGGGGTCCTCTGCAGCAGCTGGGCTGCACTTTCACCAGTAGCCTCTCCTAGGCTCTCTTCATGGTGCCAAGCCTCAACATCTCTGCATGACTTCTTCAGTCCTGGGCCTTCAACTGCCACTGAGGCTGTACCTTCACCAGGGGCCTCTCCTGGTTTCTCACAGTGCCAACTCTTCATGACCCCTTCATGCTTTCAAAACCAGTACCACCTTCATGACTCGTACACTATCAAATTCTGCTGTCAGCACAAGGTCCAACCTTGGTCGCCTCTGGAACACAGTTTCTGTGCACTGACTCTCAGGAAACACTTCCCAGAAGATTTCACCTCAACGGTGCTGGTCTCTTCTTAATCATCGCTAACTTCTCAGCTCCAGCTGACCAGCATTGAGGATCCCAGCGAAGAAAAGTTTTCCTTTAGTAATTCTGGTATCTTTTTAATCACAGCTGATTCTTAAGCCCCAGCTAACGAGAACCAAAGAATCTTCAATCAAAATGGCAAAGGGCCCTGATAGTCTTTAAATTTCCCTCTGAAATTTCACAAGCCAGGCCTCCGTCCTCTGCACTGCTCTCCACATTCTTATCTCCCAAGCTCCCACAGAACATCTCACTGGGCTCTCAACACTCAATGGCTTTTCTAGCCCAAAGTTCCAAGGTCTTTCCACAATCCCCCTAAAAACATGGTCAGGTCTGTCACAGCAAAACCCCCGGTTCGCTGGTGCCAACTTGTCTGAGTTAGGGTTTCTATTGCTGCAACCAAACACCAAGAACAAAAGGCAAGTTGGGGAGAAAAGGGTTTATTTGGCTTACCCTTCCACATCATAGTCCTTCACTGAAGGAAGTCAGGACAGGAACTCAAACAGGGCAGGAACCTGAAGCCAGATGCAGAGGCCATGGAGGGTGCTGCTTACTGGCTTGCTCCGCCTGCTTTCTTATAGAACCCCGGACCACCAGCCCAGGGATGGCACCATCCACAATGGGCTGGGTCCTCTCCCCATCAATCACTAATTAGGAAAATGCCTTACAGCCAGATCTTATGGGGGCATTTTCTCAACTGAAGGTTGACTCTAGTTTGTGTGTCAAATTGTCAAAAAACCAGCCAGACAAGAGCCATAGAGGAAGATGCCCGCCATTGACTTCAGGCCTCCACAGCATGTGTGTACACACACACACCAAACACACTCCTAGCAATAGTTATTGGGACTCGGACACAGAAGGCTCAGTGGAGTTCAAGGCCAGGTTGGGCTAGAGTGAGATCATTCCAGGGCTAGCCCACTGTGATGAACACTCTTGTGATTCTAGCACCCGGCTAAAGCCGGCCTATGAAAAACAGTGAGACCACAATCGCAAAACCACAATCACAGCACTTGGGAGATGGGAGGCGAGAGGGCTGGGTCATGGCCAGTCTTAGCTCCACAGGGTGTTCAAGGCTGGAGAGAGCTACATGAGACCTTGTTTTAATCTTCTCCCCTCCCCACCCCACCCCCAAAAAAAGAAAAAAGAAAGAAATAGAAAACAAGCCAAACACAAAGTAACTACTAGAGAAAGGGTTTAAGCAAAACTTGGTAACACTGTTAACCTCATCAGTTTGCCCCATTATTTTTGTCCATCTTAGAAATCATACTTTTCAGTGGCCTTTTCTTAGGAAGATCTTTTTGTTTTTGTTTTCAAGACAAGGTTTCTCTGTGTAGCCCTGGCTGTCCTGGAACTCAGAGAGATCTGCCCCGCCTCCGGTCTCCTGAATGCTGGGATTAAAGGCGTGTGCCACCACCCGGCTAGGAAGATCTTTGATAAATAATGTATCCAAGCAAAATACAGGAGAAGGACACTAAGGACCAAGATCTGATTCCAAAAGTTTTCTATGTTAGTCCACTTTCTGTTGTGATGAAACACTGGCTAAAACCTACTTAGGGGAGAGGAGGTTTATGTGGCTTACAGCCCATCCAGGGAAGTCGAAGCAGGAACCTAGAGGCAAGATCTGAATGGACCATACAGGGGCCGCTCCACAGTGAGGGGAGCAGCTGACTGACAATAACAGCCACTACCTTCCACGGTGGTGATGATCAAACGTGACTCTCACGTCAGCCCCCTCGCGTGGGCTCTCACCCTACTCCCCTGTATTTTAAAACACCGTAAGTTCTAGCTTTTAAGATTTTCAACTTAATAACTAGAGGAGGTAACAAATGACAAGAGTCTTCATGAAAAGCGAAGGCCGCTGCCACTTCTGGGCTCTTTTGAGAGGCTTACAAGTCAGCTTACAAGTCAGATAGATTCTTATCTCCAACACTTTGTTAATTCTCTAGGACAACATGCATAATTTTCATGCCGCTTTTTAATTTTTCGAAGACTGTGTGTGTGTGTGTGTGTACCTGCATATTAATGTCCAAAAGAGGGTGTCGGCTCTCTTGACGCTGGCTACAGGCTAAAGATGTCTAATGTGAGTTGCTGGGAGCGCTTGCAAAAGCAGCAAGCGCTCCTAACTGCTGAGCCATCTTCCTGGACCACGCAAACATTTCAGCCTAGGCCATTCTCAAGCCGGTATGCGGCGAAGGAGGACCTTGATCTCTAGATCCTACTTACCTGAAGCCGCTCCTGGGCACGTTCCCCGACAATCCCGCAACAGAGAAACCTCCGCAGACGCGCAGTGGGAGCACCTCGAGCCGGCCCTGAACTGAAACTTCCCGCGGCGGGTCGCTGATTGGAGGGATCTTGGCCAACACTTCCGGAAGCTCCCGCCCCTTCCCCTCGGGCGAGGCTTGCGATAGGTCGGTTCTGTGCGACTTTTGAATTGTTTGGAAGGCGTAGGACTAGGAGGCGGTGACGGCGCGGTAAACAGGCTGGCGGGGAGCGTCTGCCCGGCTAGAGCGGGCGGGAGGCGAGGCCAGCGGAGGAGCTTTCCTTCTCGCCTCTGCAGGTCGTTTATTCTCATCTCCTTTCATTTTAGAAGATTTTTTTTTTCTTTGCCGGGCGGTGGTGGCGCACGCCTTTAATCCCGGCGCTTAGGAGGCAGAGCCTGGCGGATCTCTGTGAGTTCAGGGCCAGCCTGGGCTACAGAGCGAGTTCCAGGTCAGGCGCAAAGCTACACAGAGAAACCCTGTCTCAAAAAACTAAAAAAAAAAAAAAAAAAAAGCAGAGACAATGGCTGGAGGGTTGGCTTAGCAATTGAGAGAGCTTTTTTGCTCTTGCAAAGGACCCAGGTTCAGTTCTACATGGTGGCTTACAACCAACTGTTACTCCAATTCCTGAGGATCCATCATCTTCTTCTGACCTCTGTGGGCACAAATGTGAGGCAGATACATAGTCAGGCAAAACACTCACGTACAGAAAACAAAGTCTTAGAACATTTAATAAATAAGTTCTGTTTTTAAAGGAAAATGCTGAGTCCAGTCCAGACTGGCAGGTTTCACTGGAGATCTGTGAGTGCTAGGCCATCCTGTTCTACATAGTGAGTTCCAGACAAGCCAAGGCTACAGAGTATGATCCTATCTCTATACAAACAAAACTCTTAGGAGCGTGAGTGAAACCATTTTGTGTAACTTAAAATCCATTCTGTGTGATTTGGAATAATATAATGCCTATAAGACAGGAGCTTGTCACCAGGTAGCTCTGATCAGAGCTGGGCCTCAGAACCAAGCTCTGGTATGTTGGTAAACCCAGCCACATGGTAGCTCACGTAGGAGCCAAACCCAAGGCAGGCCTGGACATGCCTAGACCCCAAGGTGGCCTTGATATGTTCGTGAACCACCACCAACTCATGAGCTCCGAAAACACAAATCTACCATTCAGTGATATAAATGATACAAAAACTGGATCTTTGGGAATGGTCTTTAGAATCTCACTGGAGTACCCCCGAAACATGGCTTCTCTACCCTCTGCATGGATACCCCTGGGTGACAGGACTAGAGATTGGCCCCTGTGTGTGGCCCTGGTGGCAGTGGCCATGGAACCACATCTGCCACAGTCCTTGGGCTCACAATTAACTGCCTGTTGATGCCACTCTGCTCTCAATGACCTGCTGAACCTCCATTTGTACCATCCCCCAGCCTGCCAACCCTGAAAAACATCATGGCTGATGTGAGTCGAGCTGACAAACCTCTCAAAGCATCCTCACCAGGGAAGATTCCCTAGAGAAAGCCTGCAGCACTTCTTGCCCAAGTTCTCTACTTGGTGAGATGTCTGTTTAACTTTTACATTAGCGGGATATTATAAGGAAAGCTTGTATAAACAAAACGAGCATATTCTTCTTTTTTTAAAGATTTATTTTATGTGCATTTGTGTGAAGGTGTCAGATCCCCTGGAATAGGAATTACAGATAGTTGTGAGCTGCCATTTAGGTGCTGGGAATTGAAGCCAGGTCCCCTGGAAGAGCAGCCAGTGGTCTTAACCACAGAGCCGTCTCTCCAGCCCTCAAAATGAACATATTCAAAGCCCACCTCCAGTGACACACTTCTTCCAACAAGGCTGCACCTCCTAATTCTTCTAATCCTCTCAAACAGTTCCAATCCTGGGTAGCTAAGCCTTTTATTATATAAGCATTTTAATACAAATCTAATAATTTTAATATATGAGCATATGGGGGCCTTTCTCACTCAACTCTCCACAGCTAGGTTGGTGGCTAATACTCGTCATCCCAGCAATCTGGAGGCAGAGGCAGGAGAATCCCTAGTTCAAGACCAGCCTGAGCCACATAATGAGGTGCTGTTTCTTACAAAATAGTAAAAAGAAAAAAAAAATATTAATTGAGAGCTGTCTTGGTTGAGTTTCTATTGCTGTGATAAAACACTGACCGAAAGCAAGGTGGAGGGGAGAGGGTTCACTGGGTTTACCTCTTTCTGGTCGCAGTCCCTCGAGGGAAGCCTGGCCAGGAACCTAGAGGCAGGAACTGAAGCAAAACCCACGGAGGAGCTCTGCTTCCTGGCTTGCTCCCCCTGCTCCCTTTGTTCACATCCTCACACATCCCGGGACGACCAGCCCAGGAGTAGCACCGGCCACAGAGAGTTAGGCACTCCCACACTAAGGAAATGCCCTGCAGACTTGCCTACAAGCAATCTGATGGAGGATTTATCTCAAGTGAGGTTTCCCTTCCCAGACAATTCTAACTTCTGTCAAGTTGATAGAAACAAATAAATAACAACAACAACAAAACAACCAGGACAGATACTTTACATATATCTAATTTAAAAAAAATAAAATTGCAAACACAGCTGGAGATATAACTTATCTGGTATAGCTTTTTCCTGGCATGTACAAGACCCTGGATTTAATTCTTAGTACCCCAAAGATAAAGAAAAATATATAGAAAATGTTGGACCAACTACAATTACAAATTAAATATTTATTTATTTTATGTGTATGGGTGTTTTGCCTGCATGTATGTGTACCATGTGCATGCTAAGTGCTGTCAGGGGCTAGAAGAGGGCGCCAGATCCCCTTGAACTGGAGTCACAGATGGATGAGCCACCATGTGGGGCCTGGGAACTGAACCCAGCTTCCTCTGCAAAATCAGTGAGTGGTCCTAACTGCTGGGACATCTCTCTAGTCCTTGAGATGACAAATGAAGAGAATAGAAGCCATTTCAAATCTATAAATAAAGATGGTAACTACAAATGCTAGTAAACTAGCAATCTGTGGGTAGATTTTACTTAAAAACCTAGATATTTCCTGTTTAGAAGATATATTCTCAAATCCCATTGATATAAAGAGTCTGGAGGAGGGTAGTAGAATCACAGACAAATAACCAAAGGACGCCTGGGCAGAGGTGTGCAGTGGTGCTAGACTATAATCAGAGCTAAGGAGGAGGCTTTGGCAGGAAGATCTTGAGTTTGAGGCCATCCTGAGCTAGGAGACATTGTCTCAAATCAAACAGACAAAGCATTTGTTAGAGGTGAAAGGGGTCTTGGTACAATGACAAAAGTTCTGGTTTGCCAAGGCTGGGCACTTTGTAACACGGATATATCTATTAAAATAATTGACAAGAGATGGAACCAAAAAAAATGTTAGAGTTATAGAGAAAAAAAATTGAGAGATTCTACCATCATTGTTATCCTAATTAGAGTTTCTATTGCTGTGAAGAGACACCATGACCACAACAAAACATTTAATGGAGTGGCTTACAGTTTCAGAGGTTTAGTCCATTATCATCACGATGGGATGTGGCGGCATGCAGGCAGACATGGTGCTGGAGGAGGAGCTGACAGTTCTACATCTTTCACATATAACACTGGGCGTGGCTTGAGCACATATGAAACCTCAAACCCCGACTCCAGTGACACACTCCCTCCAACAAGACCACTCCTACTCCAACAAGGCCACTCCTCCTAGTAGTGCCACTCCCTTTGGGGGGCCATTTTCTTTCAAACCACCCCAATTGTGAAAGAGTGTATTGTTTACTTTCTATTTCTAATACTATAATGCACTTTCCAAAGATGGGTAGGAAGTTTATAAAGGTTTGTTATCATTCCACTCTGAAGACAGAAAGACCAAACATTAGGGCACAGACTCTGGCTAGAACCCCTGGAGGCTGTACCTGGTGTCTGGTGGCATCATGATGGGCATGCTATAAAAAGAAGAGATCACAGGGTACCATAGGAAGCCAGAGACAGCCTGACCAGTGATAGAGCCTGGAGAGTCACACTAATGGCTTCCAAGGAAATGACCTCAGTGACCTCTTAGCTTTCCATCTTTTAAAATTAACAAAACAAGATTACATATTTGGGTGTTTTGGCTGCATGCAGGTCTGTATACCATGTACATGCCTGGTTCCCATGGATGTGAGAAGAGGGTATTAGATCTCCTGGAACTGTGGTTACAGATGGGTGTATGCCACTGTGTGAGTGCTGAGAATCGAACTCATGTCCTCAGGTGCTTTTCACTGATGAGTGGTCTTTCCAGACCAAACTTCCCATTCTAAAACCACACGTTTCAACCACATCCAAACCACAGTAGATTTAACATATGCCTCATAAGCTCAGCGGGAAAAACTTTGGCAAGTAGACAAGCAAATACTAACTTGATAATTAACATACTTGAACAGAAACATAAAACAAGGAGAAAATGCATTTTCCATCAGCACTCACAATACACATGACAGTTAAAAATGATCACACACTAGACCATGACAAAAGGCACCACGAAGCTTCAGAGAGCAGATCTCCAATTAAATCAGAAACCAAGAACAAGAAGATAAATTTAAGACTGTTAAGAAATAGGTTGAGCTGGGTGGTGGTGGCACACACTTTAATCCCAGCACTTGGGAGGCAGAGGCAGGCAGATCTCTGTGAGTTCAAGGCTAGCCTGATCTACAAAGTGAGTTCCAGAACAGCCAGGACTGTTACACAGAGTAATAAACCGAAAAAACAAACAAACAAAAAGAAACAGGTTGAAGAAGAAATTACAATGGAAAATTCAAAAAGCCTAAAGCTAAGTGTTCTGGTGGGAACTCCACCTTAACCCCTGGCACCCGTATACCCAAAGAGTCTGGAATGTTCTGGTGGAAGCTCCACCTCAATTTTCCTCCCCCATCTCTCTCTCTCCCCAAACCTGCCTCCTCAAAACCCTCCCCCTAGAGCTGCCCTCCTATTCCAGACCCTCTCCCCCTCAAAGCCCACCCAAAACCAGCTCCTCCCTGGGGCTGCTCAAGACCATGCCTCCAGGGTACTTAAGGCCTGCTAGTCATATTTGCCATGTGACCCTTCCTCTGTGACCCTTCTGTGACTCTTCCTCTCTGACTCTTCCCCCTGCCTTCCCAAGGTCACCCAGGATTGCTTTGCTCATTAAACCTGCATTTATTAATTCAGTTTGATTGGATTATTACATCAGTGGCGGGCTGGGTGGGGACGACCCAGAAACCAGGGCTTTAAAACAATCACTAAGTGAAAATGAAAATAATGTTAATCAAAACTTATAGGAGGCCCTGAAATAATGACTCATTAGTTAAGAGCGCTTGCTGCTCTACCATGGGACTGGAGTTTGAATCTCAGCACCCATATCAAGTGGTTCTCGAAGACCTGTAACTCCAGCTTCAAGAGATCCAACACTTTCTTCTGGCCTCCAGGGCACCTGCAAACACACATGCGTACATGATCTTACACACACACACACACACACACACACACACACACACACACACACACACACACACAGTAACAGTGTTGTGTTAGTGTGAGTGTGTTACAATGTGTGTGTGTGTGTGTGTGTGTGTGTGTGTGCATGTGCCATGGTGTGCTTGTGGAAGTCAGTTAACTGTGCTAACTTTGGGGAGACTTTGGGAGGCGGGATTTGTCTGGAGGAGGGAGGTCCTGAGGGTGGGCCTTGAGGATTATAGCCCAGCCCAGCTTCCTGTTGACCTCTCTGATCCTGATCCACTGAGAAGTGAGCAAGCAGCCTCTGGACCCTCTGCTCAATGCTGCCCTGCCTTAGCAAGATGGACTGCATCCCTCAGATGTGAGCAGAGTAAACCTTGCCTGCCTTTGTTGCTTTTTGTTAGGAATTTGGCCACAGTGATGAAAAAAATATCTAACACAGTGTTCAGTGGATAAGTATACTTTTTACAAAGGAGAAAAATGAGTGAGAGCTGAAGGAACTAACCCACCTTCTTAAGGATTTTACCATGTGAGGACCTTAATGACTACAATATCTTATACTTTTTTTTGTTTTTTTGAGACAGGGTTTCTCTGTGTAACTTTGCACCTTTCCTGGATCTAGCTCTGTAGATCAGGCTGGCCTCGAACTCACA